TGAAAGAGAGAGTCACAGTATTTGATTGCCAGAAACATGAACTGCATGACCCCACTGTATTTCAGCTGAGAACTGCCTGCTAGTGCTGTCCAGTCTGTCATGTCCTGTAATTTAAAAACAGCATAAAACAGGCAAAAAAATTAAAAATCAGAACATCAATCTTGAAACTAATTATCTGTGTTCTAGTGGATTACAAAATTGTAAATTTTAGTCAAGTTTTGAGATGACTTTTAGTTCTGTTTCCTGGTACGTTAAGTCTGATAAATGGCAAGCCTACATAATTAATACTGTCTTGTTCCCCCAGACCAAAGGGCGACTGCAGTAACTGTAGATTGCAATTGTCATGGGTGTCACATAAAATGTGCTATTATTAAGTCCAGGCTGAATTTTATTGCAGGAAATACTCATAAATTGAATGGTCAGTTGTTTAAATTACAGGGTGCGACATTCTGTTCCCTGTTCTGGAGCTGTTTCTTTGATGGAGAGTGCTTGACACGAGACCTTCTGAAACAAAACGGAATTACTTTGGTGTGAGAGGAAGACAGGCGGTATCTTAGGAGCTACTGTAGATCTGCATGACAGCACGCAAGGATGAAGACAGCAGTTTAGCCTTTCTGCTGCCTTGGGGTGTCAGGGACAAGCTTAAGGTTGGGAAGAAAACATAAGTGATGTCTCAGAGGGTGGAAAGAAAAAAAGAGCAAAGCAAAGAAGTGAAAAGACAAGTTGAATGCAGAAAACATTTTTTATAATAAACCAGAGCTGTTTCAGGCTTGTTTTGCTTATACAATGGCCTTCAACATAGACCTTATCTTTATACATCTGCTTGAAAACTTGTATCTTTTTTCTCATTAGTGTTGAACAATAACACTGTTATCTACAGCGCTTTCTGGAATGTGAAATTTGTTGTAATTTAAGATGTTGGATTGATATCTCTGAAGTTAAGTCAGGATAAAGGCTCCAGGGTTGATTTACAACCTTAAGTTAAATCCAGCATCCTTTATTGGGATATAATTGAGATTTTAGCTTTGTGAGTGCTGTGCAATTTGGTGATTTGGTTTTGTAAAGAGCTACACTTCATACTGCAGAGTTTTGCTCTGTGCACAGAGACTTGAACAGTTTTGCAGTGTAAAGTACATCTTTGTATGAATAATAAAGATCTGTGCAATTCAATGAAATTGTGCACAAAAGAAGTCAAAGCAAGACCTAAAAATACCTTTTTATTGTATCATTAGTTTGTACATTATTTACTAAGTATAATATAAATCTAAATTTGATTTAAATATTTTAACAGGGAAATGGTTTGTATATACAGCTTACAGTTTCAGACTTGACTTGGAGCTCCTGCTAAGTGCAATATGGAAGAATTTAAAATGTTTTTGCACTGACATTTGTCAATTATTTACTTTAAATGCAGTTAAATTGAGTTATGTTCAAATCTTAATGTATTAAAATACCATGTTGTTTTTTACTTTAAAATGGCAATCCAACTATGGAAAACGTACATTTTGTAAATATGTTCTTCAGTTATGCTTTTAATTGTTTAGAATAGACTGATCGGCTGGGAAAGTGACAATTGAAAAATGGTTGGATATTTTAACAGAATGACACAGGTTACCAACCTGTTTCAGTCACAAAACCTTCATTACAGTGATTGAGGTGACAAAATAGTTTCAACTTTTTAAAACTGCTAAGGGATATGTTTGCAGTTAGCTGATCCATTTACAAGAATGTATCATCATAAAACCTGAAATATCAAATTCAAATAGATATTCTACAAATTATGTTAACTAAAGTAGACATATAAAAAAGGGAAAAAAATAAAATCCAGAAGGTATAGTAACGCCAGATATTGTAACAGTCGTGAAATGAATAAAAAAATGAATTTGTTAAGAGTTGCAACTTTAATATTGAAATGCCCTGGAAAGGCTTCAAATTTTGTTGCTGTCTGAGCTTCCTGTTAAGGCATTTTAAATTAGGACTTTTAAATTTAGAATCTGCACAAACTACTCCAAACTGAAAAGGCTACAAAATGCTCAAAGTGTGTAAATAATTGGAAGATTCTCAGTTGAGTAAGTTGCTAGTTCATGTGCAAAGGAATAGTTGGAATGGTCACAAAGTTAGTGTACTGGTCTCTGTGTGTAATCAAAGTGGTTTAGCTTGACTACAGACTGAATGAATCAGTCTCATTATATCCCTTCAGATATTGATTTTCAAGCCTCAGTTCATGAAGTGATATAAAAAATTGACTATGAAACCTGGTGGCCTTTCTACACAAAGCAGGGATAAAGTGATAGGCAGAGAACGGAAGAATGTTTACTTACCCTTTTGATTGCAGTGAAGTCCATCATTAAGAAATATGAGTGGCACACAAGAAGGCATCGCTTGAGAAATATTTGTCTTAAATCTTGTATGATATATACTTTTAGACATGGCAGAATGTTTTATAGTCAGAAGAGACAAAAGCTCAACATTTTAGTCCAAATGAAATGTGTTGTTTGGCACAAGCCCAACACAATACTGTACATAACCCAGTAAGCGCCATGCTCGTTGCAAGCATGGTGGTGGCCGCATTATGTTATGGGTTTTTTACTCATCGGCAGGGACTTTGAAACTTGACAGGGTTGAAGGGAGAACTGAATCATACAAAGTACTGGAAAATCTGCTGGAATCATTCAAGGATTTAAAACTGGTTAGAAAATTCACACTTCAACGGGGCAGTGACCTGTAGCACCGGAAGTGGTCTGACAAGAAGAGAGTCGGTGCCCTTGAGTAGCCTGGCCAAAGTCCTGAGTTAAATCCAATAGAAAATGCAGTATATGGTGAGGCTTGACAATTGCACTCCACCGACATCCCCAACAAATCTTGTCGGAACTGGAGCCATTTTTCAATATTACACTATCCCACTGTGCAGAGCTTGTGGAGACGTATCCAGAAATCCAGGCAATTGCCTTCTGTATTTTCCAAAAATACCAGTAGTTGTTGTCAATGGTGACTCTACCAAGTATCGACGTAGATGGCTAAATATGTACGTGTGCTGACATGCAGCCCTCTTCAACTATAAGAGTATTGAGTTACATTACAGTTTTAAATTTTAAAAAATTAAACATCAATATGCATTAGATGTAATTCATGAATGTGATGTTAGTGGGACTGACTATTTTTGATAGGCACTGAACGGTATATGCTGTATATACAGAAAACCCAGGCCTAATTTGAGAAAGTGGAATTAAATATCATGAATTACAGTACAAAAAGACAACTACATGAAATATGTTGGTTCTTAATTAGCAAATGTTAAACACAGATAATGCAGTTATATTTCTGAAGTATTTGTAAATATTATTCATCAAATACAAAATACATCAAATCTTGTTCTAAAATTTCGAAAATTGCAAAACTGCAGCCATTGTAAAGGTATTGGCACAGCCTCTATTTATGTTTCGCCATCATCATTACCACACAGCTTCCAAACTAGTGGCAGTGGTCTGCTCTGTAAACCACTCCAAACAGATTCCTATAGGTGTAAACAATCAACCACTTTGCAGGTAATGAATCAAAACATGGTATTTATTTGAAACATTTGAGTTAAACACCAATTTAGTTCATTTCACTTACAAAACAAAGAAAAACGGGTGTTTGGTTTGAGTTAATGTTTAATTTTGACCCTATGTGAACAACCTTACTTAGCAAGCATAGCTATCCCCAGAATTCCAGACTAGGTGAACTTTGTTTATGTTTGAAACCAGATTTATCGCCTTTGTTTGGATAGTGAAATGTTTGCCTGTGTGTGTACATGTTGATACCTCATGAGTGCCAGGTGATCTGGAAACGGGAGTCTCAAGTCACAAGTTGCAAACAGAGATCAGCCAAACACCCATGATTTTAGTGCAAGTCAAAATCTTGGCTAAGTTGGTACTGTTCTCATTTGTAAAACAAGACTTTATCTTTATTGTATGGTTTCCTGTGTTTATTTAGCTGATCTGTGTATCTTTTCCATTTATTTTCTTGGGCATCAACTGACTTATTGAAAATATCAGAAAAAAATCATTTTAACAGTTACCCGCATATTTCTCTTCACCTCTACATTTGTAATTTTTTCCCATAGATCAGTTGTAGAAGTGATACTTTAAGATGTAAATTTAATCAATAACAATCTTAATCTATTGAGTAACCATGCAGCTCTAATTGTTGCATGACTTGTGAATTCATAGCTTTTCTTCATTTCCCTAGCAGAGCATTGAAGTAATAAAGTTATGTGGACTGTTGTTCCTTTGTGTATTTTAGTGCAGAATCTTTTTAAAGTAGCAATAAATAAAAAAACATACCAAAAAAAACATCTGAAAACAGTAATTTACATCTCTTTACATCTCCCTTGTGGTCTCCTGACTATGTTAATCTTGAATTGGCAAATCTAAATTGTCCCCATCTGGTTCCATATACGTGCCCTACCATTGACTGGTTTTCCATCAGGAGTTTCCCCAGTCCTGCACCCACTGTCTGCTGGGGTAGGCTTTGATTCACTGCAACCTTAAAATGAATGTTCGATTAGAGTAGGCATTAAGTTGCTGCCTCACATGATATTAGTGTTAATAGCTGACAAAGAGTGTAAGAATATGGGCACTTCAGTGTTTGTTACGGTATATGGCAATATCTTTTGATTGGCCAAAATGTCAGTGCTTTACCCAAAGTGGCTACAGATGGAAGATCAGGTGCTGAATGTTCTTCATAAGGTGTACACTGCTGCTCCTTTTGGTCTTCATTCTGTACTCCTTATCATGGGTTGAGACAACACCTGTCATACCAGTCAAGGTTGTAGGATCATCTTATGTACATGTACAGTCGTAGATTTGATTCCAATTACAATAATCTGCAAAGACAGAGCCTCTGTGTTCTTACCACCTTGAAAACAAGTTATAAGAAAAAAAATTACAGCAGTACAAATAAGTGTTTACCTTTGCCAAGAAACAAGTGAAACATAAATATTATTTTGTTTCCCTCAGACCGCCACAGAAGTCCTTGAAAGCCTTTTAGAAGAGGATGATGAAGTTGTTCAGGTAAGGTACAGGTTGACCTCATGGGTAATGGGTTTGAGTCCCCACTGCAGATGCTGCTGTTGTAGTTTTAGTGAGGTACAATACTTTCCCCCAGTTTCTCCAGTCCACCCTGCTGTATGAATAGGGACCAACATTGCTGGGTGTAAGCCCTGCAGTAGACTGACCGGCGTCCTTTCCTTTTTCGAATGCTCCCTAATCTGCTTAACGCCATGGAGACCGGGAGAAGATCTGGCTCGATGTGTCGCTGTGAAGCAGAAGGAAATTCCTTATTTGCATTCTTTAATCTGCGATGGAAAAGGCAGCTTCTAGTCTCCTCAAAGAATTAAGCAATTCATACATTTGCCTAAATATGTCTGGAGGGTAGCAGAACTGTTCAAGACTGTGGATTTGTCATTTTCATGTCAATGTGGTAAAGATGAACACAGTCGATTTAGTAGTGTTCTGTGTTCCCTCGATAAAGATGGAGGTGGGCCTTACTAAGACAGAATGGTAGAAGTAATTCAAGCAGCTAATTCTGAGTGGCTGAGGGAATGGAAGCTCGCTGGTAAGACCACAAGAACCCCTCTCCCCTCGTGCTGTAGAAGGTGGAGGAGAGGCCACAGGGTGAAGGGGGGGACACCAAGCCCAGACAGTAGGAAACTACACTAGCAACCTTGCAGTGGTGGGAGGAGGTGGGTGAGGTTAGGATTGTCCTCCTCCTAGCCTTTTGTCAAGAATTTCAGTTTTGTTTTGGTAGTTTTGTAAGCTATTAGCAAAATGTATTGGAAATTACAGTTAATCTCAGTTTCATATATAATCACATTTAAATGACAAAAAAATAATTCTATAAAGATGTAACAGCCTGCTGTCATTATGAAACTTTCTGGGCCCATTTGTCTATTTACTTATGCAAGATGTTGTTTTTATGTCACGTTCCACTGTTCTCAGTTTTGACATGATGAAGAAAAATAAGGAAAAGCTGGGTATGTATCTGTTTTTCTGCTGATGGGTAAACAACGCATATACATTATACAATACAATGTTCTAGTGTTTTGAACCTGATGACAATTTCAAAATTGTTTCCCAATCAAGCTTATAAATTATAATACAAAATAACTTGCTTCACAATTGTAAAGAGCAGAGATTGATGTTTGATTTATGCCAACTCATGTAAATTAACTCATGTAAATGCAATTTAAATCCCTGCTGTTCAGTTAAGTCTCTTCCTATTTTCTTTTTATACAAGACGCTGTATTTTCTGAACTTTTACTGTGGTGAAGCAGACTGACGGTGCTTGAATAAATCACATCATCTTAGTCTCAGCATGAGTTTAGGGCACTGGTTGATTTCTGAAAATCGACATAAATGCATTTAATATGTTAAATGTGCATTTGAATATTTGTATGTCAGACTGGTCAATCAGAGACAAATAGTCAAAATCTGTTGTATAATGTTGGTGTATTAAAAGGTGTAGTTTTGTGTTGCGTATGTGGATTGCAGGTTTGGGGAAATGTTGAATTCTTATATTGTTCATATTTTAAAGTCCTATCCATTAAATTCATTTAGTTCTCAGTGTTTCATTTGAACATTGATGGAAGGTGATATGGTGTTACCTTTTTGTCTCCTCTTTTCAACATGAAATAAACCTTTACTTGTTCTTCTTTATTGTCCATCTGCTTAGTTAGGTTTCTACCTTAGGTTTGTGAGATATTACCACTGTTTTGTCCAGCCTCTTTTCTTCTGTGGAATTTCAGGTACTGCAAGTGTTTCAGCTGCTTTTAATTATTTTTTTTCTTAGAAGGTCAGCTTCTCAACACGTGTCCAAAAACGTAGTCTTTTGAAACTCATGTGAGAAAACTCACAAGAGTCTCTTTTTTCTGTCTGCATGGCATTGCAGAGGTAAGGCCTGCTGCTCAACTTGTATCTTGGTATCAACAAAGGCATTCAGTAGGCAGCAGGATGTTATGGGTTGTACAGCTTGTGTGCTGTCTATTCTGCCTTTGCATTAAAGTCTGGTGTGAATTGTGTTGGATTGCTGTGAAATTTAAAGTCGGTTTAAAGAATCACCTGCTTATGTATAAAGGAACTGGGCATCCTTGCTCCAGGTTGCCTTAGAGATTTCTGCATAAGTGTAGTCCAAAACAAATTGTCGGATCTCCTAATGCAGATCTTCCGATAAAAACCTTTAAAAAATAGGCTCCAAACAACGGGCAATAAAACTTTCTTTTGTGTATCTCCACGATTGTCATTGTCTAAATTCATAGAGAGACTGTGATTTTGCACAGTTGCTATGTTAAAAATCTTATCTACATCTAGTAATGTAGACTTCGTTAATCTTAATTTAAAGTGGTATTTTTCGGTGTAAATGTTTTTTAAATATTTATTTTACTAATATTGTTATTTTCATAGCTCTTTTGAGTTTTTCAACTTCTTTAAGTTCCGCTTTTGATAGAATTGACCTCGAGAGCAAAGTCTGGCACCTACAGTTGAGAGAATAAAGATGGGTATAGTCAGATATGTGGCTCACATTTGTGGAATTCTAATACTTTTGCTGGAGATGGAGTCAGACTGGATTAACAGGAGTGAAGAAATAAATCTACAGCAAAGAGAGAGCCCGTGGATGCTGCTAAGTTTTATTGCTCAATGCTGTTTAATAGAAGCCCATACCCTCTGATGTAACATATTATGCATGTGAATATTATAGCCAGAATAAGGGGCTTTGTGCATGAAGGTGATTGATTGCACAAGTTGATCTTTAAAATATGGATGTGGTGCTTCATTGTGCTAACGGTAACATTGATACATAAAAGCTTTCTTTGGCAAATAGCTTGTGGTGCTAAGAGTTGCACCTCTGTCCATTAAGAAACAGGGTTTATATCCATCTATTAAATCTGTTTAAAATTACCATAATTACATGGATCCCAGGAATAAATTTGCATATTTCTAGGACAGTACTCAAAATGTTCATGCTTAGGTTTTATTAGGCCATAACCAAACATCTTAATTTTCATACCTAAATTATTTGTGCTTAGCTTGAGGGTTCTGTCAAATCCTTTTTCACTGCTCTTTCTTTATCTTGAAGCATCTTTTAAAACAAATCTCGAGCAGTATTATTAACTTGATTTAAAGAATGTTGAAGATATGATTGTGGTAATGCAGTAAAAAGATTATGATAATGTTTTGATTGCTGCTGTTATGTATTTAGATATTAAGCATTATGAATTTGGTTTCTTTACTATCTAGATTGTGCTTATGATCATGTCGATGATTAAAAGCTGCATAATATTTAACCCTTTAATCATCAGCCCTTTAATTGAAGTATTTCATAGCAGGAATGTTAAAAACAAGGTTCCCAGTTTCATATCCATCAAGCAATTAGTTCAAATTGAGTTTTTATCGAATGCAATATCCAAAGATGTTTCATTTTGTCTTTGAAAGAAGGCACAGAGGTCTTTGTGTCATGTATCATTTTATGCATGCCTAGAGTAAGAGTTCTTAGTGGAACCCAAGCTCACATCTTTAAATCTTGCTTTCAATTTTGTAAACAGAAAGCTAGGAGGAGTATGTGAGAAAATTATTAATGACCTGTTATTTGTAGAAAACTTTATTATCACTCTGTAGCTGTGCAGCCTCTCTAAAAGCATGCCATTAATTTATTACATTTCAAGCTCCTCTTTCTCAATATTATAGTTTTAAAACCTTTAACAGGATCTGTGCTTTCAGTATCACACTCAATATAAGTTCAAAGAATCACGTTTTCAGTTTCAAAGACAGGATTATTATTATTTGTTCTCATGCATCCCCAGGGGTCAGAAGTATATTTTGACCTAGATTTTAAAAAGCTTTGAAATCATCAGTGAATTTCTTTTTTAAAGAAGTTGTGAACTTCACCACAGTAGGAGCACTGACAGTTAACAACAGATATTTTTTATTAAAATAAAATACTTTTGCAGTATGTTCACCTTAATTCTATTATTCTTTGTATTGTTTTCTTTGCATGAACTTTTTATATGAATTTGTCTGTTTTTAATCAAAATGTAAAAACTAAGATTTTAAGATCAAATGATCAAATGCTTTTGACCCCATATTTGTAATAGAATATAATTTTTTTGAATATTGGTGTGATCAGTGATTTGCTCACCTTTAGTCTGATTATTTTAGCAGGTAAATCCTCTGAGAGTAAATTTGCATTCACAATGATGGCTTAGAGACCCCATTTATACTGCAGGTCACTTAGTGGAGCAATTTGATTGAAGCACCTTTCTCAATTGCACAGCAGTGTCCCACCTGGAATGTGAATCCATAGCCTTCTGGTCAGGAGATCGCTACTCCCCTCTGGAATCATGGCGAGGTCACTGTTATCTGAAAATTTCCAAACTAAGCACATTTTACTCCCAAAACCACTTTATTTTTAAATGGCTTTTGTATTTCCAGTTACTTTGAGTATTTCACCTCTCTGTGAATGGTTCCTTTTCCACATGTGTAAAAAGTGCTTAAATGTAAAGATTAAGTGAAATCATTTGGGGAAAAAAGCAACAATAATTAGGTGAAAGCAGTAAGAAATATGTGGTGCATTATACAGTATACTGTATCACTTTTCAGCCTCTATGTGTCCCTTTTCTTGTTGTTTTTGTATTTAGTGATCATAACTATATGAATTTTGGGACTGATATGTGTTCAGATCATCCTGCTATTTAAGCATTTTGACTCTAAATGACCAGATTTTTTCAGGAACGAGTTCTATGGGACATGCTTTTATAAGCTGTATAGGAATTTTTGAAAATGTAGTTTGATTATTATTCATCATGAATTAGAAATGTGTTGAAATTGATGTTGCTGGATATGATATTGCATGTATAATTATGTGCAAGGTGTAGGTGCACATCCTCCAGGTTAAAGAAGGAGCTTGTTTTTTTAAAGCATCACCCATTTATTCTTGCAAATAGTCTGTCTTTGAAGAAGAAGAAGCATTTAATCCAGAGATTTCTGCTTTCTGCCTTGGCATAAAACACAGTCAGCCA